GTGGCGGATTCCAAATGCATTAGATGACCGGCACATTAAATTCCACGCGATAACCATGCACGCATGCGAGAATGCCATGTCCTTTCCAGGTAGTAGAAGCATCTTCTTACAGAGAAAAATGTACAGATCGAACATAAGAGGATCCTTGCCAGTCTTGATTCAGCCCGTTCCATTTGATGCTTCCTTGGCTAGTGTGTGCTTCAGACCCTTGAAATACGTAGTCAGCTCCGATTCTAATGCCTTGGACATCGTGCAGCCGTAGTCACGATACAAATTGAACAAACTTGCTCTATGTGTGTTCAGAGCAGAATAGCTCAGCCCCGATCCGTCCTTCCGTGTCAGTGTCACGAGCCAGGTAACACAGTCTTCAGCAGTAAGAGCCTCAAATTCGAGAGGAATGATGCTACTTTGGGGACACAACTTCTCTTTTACGCGAGATCGCAGTTGGTGGAGGGAGCAGTCGGACGTATCGCCAAGCCTCTCAGCAAACGGTGCCGACACGAGTTCTGACTTATTCTGGACCACCCAGGCAAGGAAGCGGCAGTACGATTTCTGGTAGGTGGTGCGAGAGCGCGTATTCTCGCGAATGCCACGGATTTTCTCTTTCAGTTTACCCCAATCACAGTCCGCCATTGCTGTCGGACACTTGTCTGCTGTCTTCTGTGCAAATTGCGCTTTGCTGTCGGTGACACCCGTTCACACAGAAAAACGAAGTAGGTTTTTCAGAAAATAGCAGACATTGTGTCCAACGCTATACCAAATAGTGATCCCTAAGTCCGACGAATTTTGGGGAATGACGACTAGGGTTTTAATAAATTGCACATAACCGAGTAAATTGTTTTTATTGGATAAAAAGTGACAAGTTCTTATACTTGTCTCCCGACCACTAATTCTGACACTGGTGAACGCTTATTCCGCAAACTCCAATATCCCACTCACGCCGATGCCAAGAACCCCCCCCCAAAAAAAGGACATCCCACCTGCAATATGACTTCGCGTTGTGTTGTTCCTTGCCGAGCGCAGTGTCCGCGGCAATCTACTCCGGGGGTCTGTGTGCGCGGCTATGGAGGAATTTGGCCTCTGCCGTAATAGTGTCAAGAAAATAATGTACAGCCAGCTTTTCGATTCATAATTAAGTTCAATAGCTAATTTCAGTTTTTGGAAAGCATAAATATTAGGTAAATTCTTATCTATCTTCTGATTGGTTAATTTTAATTGGTGGCTCACCGTTATGCCCCGGATTTTGGAAATAAACCTCGCCCTCTTTGAGTCCAAATTTTAGAGCTTCTAATTCGTTTCTGCGTGCACGGGTACATCCTATGGAAGCAAATCATCTAATTTAATCGTCCTTCAAATTAGGTGTAATATCGCTAAATATATTGACTGAACTGCGTCAAAAAACCTCATGGGATTCAAACTGCGGAGAGTTTGAGCGCATGGTGCTCATCCGTTCCTGTTGCTAGTGCAACAAAAAATATGCTCAGGTGCGCTAAACCGGGGACTTTTCAATGGTGTGTTTACCGCTTTCTGCTGAGGTCAGGCTTCAAAGTTATCGGTAAATATATGAAAGCGTCATTTTGAAGCGGGTCAGAGAAGTACACACTACTCCACTCACTCACTCACTTAATTTCTTACTCAACACACACGCACACTTCAGCCAAAGTTTGTATTTACGTTCCTCTAGCCTACTCAAAAATCTCTCGGCACACAATGTTCCTTGTGTGCACCATCCCGCCCTCGTCTATCTGCTTCGGGTCGATGGCGATATTGATCACCTTCTTGGAAGTAACTGGAGACAGCGCCACGTACAGCTGACCGTGCGCGAACACCGGAGGTTTCCAGATAAATCCCAACGTGGTGGACTGAACCAACACAGTCGCAGATCGATCTCCTCCCGGTACGTTATCCCTAGCATCGGATACTCCACGTTCAACCCCCGATCTATCTCCACTCTGCGTCGCATTAACACTCCCATTCTGTTGCTTTCATAGTCTATACAAAGCTACACGCCGGTTGTTCCTTCTGCGCTTTCGGTCTGCTTCTGTTTCTTCATCTGGCGATCGAAATGCATTTTCAGCGGTGTTGTATTTTCGTATCCGTCCACGCGCCATTGTTCCAACTGAAAATCCACGAAAGCAGTAATCGTTTAGAGGACGTCCGAGATGCGAATAAAATGTCTTGGAGGGCTAACAGAGTGAAACCTAGTCCCCAAATTCTACCATGGAAAGAATCGTCCTTTGCCATCTTTATCACCTTAAAGTTTATTCTTTTGTTATCAAAGTTGTAATGCTCGTATACCTCTTGCAAACATCCCCGCATTTTAGAAGCCTCTTTTAAGAGCTTCGCTTAGTAAATGTTCATTACGTAACCCCCGCACGCACGTTACGAACCGACAAAGCATCCACCTTCCTCAATCACGCGTGGGCTACACGCATGACAGATCCGGCCGTGCTTCTTTAGGCATCCACTCTCCTCCGTGCACCACGGGCTACGCGGCACACAAATCAGGTTTCCAGGTCCTAGATTTGTTTTGTCAATGCTTTGTTTTGGTTAATCTTTTTGTTTTTGTAGCAGGGTTTGGGTGACTGTCGATATTGACGACGGTTTGGGATGCCGTGGCTGACAACTCAGTTGAGCATCAGCTCCAAAGCATAGGACATGGAGCGTGGGGGCGCTTCAATGCACTTCAGCTTGTTTTACAGATATACCGGCATTTCAGCTTAGATTCAAAAGCTTAAACGGTAAGGTGACAGATCAGGCTAATGGGACGACGCTATTACAGCGGAAAGTAAGTCTCAAATTT